AGTCCCAGCTACTCGGGAGGCTGAGGCAGGAGGATCGCTTGAGCCCAGGAATTTGAGGTTGCTGTGAGCTAGGCTGACGCCACAGCACTCTACTCAGGGCGACGGAGTGAGACTCTGTCTTTTTGTAAAAAATTAAAATAAAACTCAGATGGAAAACAAGAAAATGCTCATCAGAAACGCAGGGAGAGTGGTGGTCTTCCTGTGAGGGGGCAGGCAGGAGCCTCAGGGGGTCAAACGGTGCATTGCCCATACCCTGAGGCCAGGATGAGTTTGGTTTCTGATTTTTTCAGAGAAGGCTTCTGTCAACAGGGAAAAAAAAGACCAAACTGTGTGAAATAATTTTAAAGAGGTTTACTCTGAGCCAAATTTGAGGACCATGACCTGGAGCCACGCCCAAGAGGCCTTCGGCAGTGGACTCGCAGAGGTTGGGTTACAGTTTTGTTTTATACGTTTTAGGGAGACAGGGGTTACAGGAAAGTCATAAATCAATACGTGGGAGGCACACATTGGTTTGGCCCTAAAAGGTGGGCCATCTCGAAGGGGGGGGCTTACAGGTTATAGGTGGGTTTAAAGATTCTTTGACTTGTAATTGGTTGAAGACATGAAGCTTTGTCTAAAGGCTTGGAATGTTTTAACATAAGGAGCTGTTTATCAGAGATGAGCCACGGGACATATGTTTGTTGTGTAAATTGAGGACCTGCAGGTTTGTCTTGCATACCCTTAGGCCTGTTAATGGGTTACAAAGGATGTCCCCAAGAAGGGACGGGGGCATGATGAGGCATGTCTGACCTCCCTCCTCCTGGCAGGCAATTTAGTTTTGGGATATCCCTTTGGCCATGAGGTGGTCCATTCAGTCAGCAGGTGGCGGGGATGGGGGGGGTGAGGGGAGCCTTAAAATTTTATTTCAGTTCACACTTCTCTGCACAAAGGCCACAGGAGCTGTGCTGCCCACTGTCCTTTCAGGAAGGCCTTGGCCTTGCAGCCTCCCCAGGTCCCACTGGGTGTGGTGCTGAGTCCAGGGACCTCCCTATCAGCCCCTCAGCCTCCAGGCCTTCTACACAACCCAGGAGGCCCAGAAGGAAGGAAGAAAGGTGAAATCGCAGGAATGTGTAGGTCCTGAGTCCAAAACTGCCGCCACATGCCCTGGAATCATTCTTTTCCCCACTTCTGCCTCCTCTCCAGCCAGGCAGCACCAGAGGCCCCAGGGCTGGGCCTGGAAGGCTCCTTCGGGGCGATGGGGCCCCGGTCTCCAACCTGCACCAGAGACAGGGAGGGTTAGGCTCCCCCACCCAGCTAGAGCGGGGACCTCAGCCCCAGGAGAGAGTAATGCATTTCAGCAGAGGAGGCCTGGGACAGGCCAGGTGCCAGCTTTGGGGGGCTCCTTCTAAGGGCTGGAGTGTGGGGGTCCCTGGTGGGGGCCTGGCAGAGCTCTGAACTGGGACAGTGAGACCGGAAGCTCTTGGCCTGGGGTGGGGAAATCCCAGGCCCGTGAAAGTCCCCAGGCCTCCCCAACACTAAAAGCCTAGAGTTCAGCTGAGACACTCCCGCCTTGGGTCCCAGCACAGGAAGCCCCCCCTTAGCCCTCAGGCCTTCCTCCCCCACTTCCCTAAAGTAATCTGATCCTCAGGAATGTGTTCCCGCCCCTCAGTCCCCAGCCAATTTCCAATTTGCTAAAGGCCAGGAAAGGAAAGCTCTGAGAAATCGAAACTACGGGGAAGGGAGGGCCCCCTGAGCAGCCTCCAGACCCACTGCTGGTCTCCTGCCGGCACCATGAACCACACTTCCCAGCCCTTCTTCACCCGCGCCCAAGCCGGCCTCCCCTCAAACTACGAGGGGCTCAAGGAGGAGCACGAGGTGGCCGTGCTAGGGACGCCCCACGGCCCCGCTCCCTCCACGTCCACCGTGATCCACGTCCACAGCGAGACCTCCGTGCCCGACCACGTCGTCTGGTCCCTGTTCAACACGCTCTTCCTGAACTGCTGCTGCCTGGGCTTCATAGCATTCGCCTACTCCGTGAAGGTGCGTGTGGGCGCGTGGGGGCCACTCCGGGCATGTGCGCCAGCCCCTCCACCTGCCTGGGGCCACCTGGGAGGGAGGCTGTGTGTCCTTGTGTGTGTCGTGTGTGCGATCTGTGTGTGCATCTCTCCCTGAGTGTACCCTGGTCTGTGTGTGTGTGTGTGTGACCTGTGTGTGTGTGTGTGTGGCCTGGGGAGTCTTCCCAGGGCAGGGTTAGGAGAAGTCTGCATGGGGCTGGCTGGGTCTGACCCCCCCAACCCCAGCCAGAGAAATCCTCCCCACGGCCCAAGCCGGAAACCCAGATTGGGCAGCCCGGGCTCTCTCAGAACGTGCAAGGCGCACTCCCCGGGGACTGTCCCCCGGGTGGGGTGGGCAGTCTGCACTGGCGCCAGAGCAGGGAGGATGAGCCCTGAGGGTCGTGGAGGGGCTGTGAGGAAGGCAGGGTGGTCCTGGACGTGGAAAGGGCAGGGACAGCCCACTGGGGGCAGGGAGGAGCCGGGGGTACGTGCCTCCTGGCTCCTGGGCCCCTCACCGTCTCGCCTCCCCCAGTCTAGGGACAGGAAGATGATGGGCGACCTGACCGGGGCCCAGGCCTACGCCTCCACCGCCAAGTGCCTGAACGTCTGGGCCCTGGTCCTCAGCATCCTTGGCACCATTCTGGTCATCGTTGCCACGGTGGTCAGCATCCGAAGCTTTTCCTAGAACCAGAGGCACCATCGAGGCTGCTGGTGGCTGCCCAGGCCTGCGACCCCCGTGCTCTACCTTCCGTGCCTGGCCCTGCCCCTGGCCCCCACCGCTTTGTGCAGCTGTTCATACTCACACATCTGTCCCCATGGGGGTCAATAAAGCGCACGTGTTCCTGAGGGTGTGGTGATTTTACCTGGGGGCGGGGCACTGCCGAGACACCTCCACCTGGGTCTGAGATGGAGCCCAGGGTCAGCCCTGCAGGACTCCACTCCCTCCGGACTCCGCCCCCTCTGGGCAGCTCTTCGCGGAGCAGGGCATGTCCTGGGGTTTGCTGGTTTCTGGCCTCCCGTGGAAGTAGCAGCTAGACCAGGCCCTGGTGGGGTTTCTCCCATCCGGAGGCCTGAGCCCCGAGCCCTGACCCAGGGGCTCACTGTGTCCAGAACACCTTCAGGCCCAGGACGACCCTTCCTGACTCTGGGCTGTCTGGATCAGGCTTCCTGGGGGCGTGTGTAGCTCAGGGCATGTGTGCCAGGGACCCGGGCTTTGGGCTTTGCATCCGGGGGAGCCGCTGAAGGAGCCCCGCCCTCGCAGCCCTCCTGCGCGATCCAGCCGCGCTCTTCCTGACTGCTGCCTCCTGCGGTCCGCCGGGCATCATCCCTGCCCTTCTGGGGTGGAGGCTGCCCCTGGCTGAGGGCTGTCTGCAGAAGCCAGTCAGACCTGACCTCTCAGCCCAGTTGTACGGAACTTTTGGTGTCTGAAGAACCAAGGCCTTGAGTCCAAACCGCGCTGGCTGCTGCCTCCTCCCACAGGTGCCTTGGCCTTTGGTGGGTTCCGGCAGGGGCGCAGTCTGTCTCCTCCCTTAAGCCAGGAGCCCTGCAGAGTTCCCCCGCTCCGTCCCGGAGCCACCTGGGGATCCCCGCTCTAACTCCCACCTCCCCCCTGCCACTGACCCTGCAGTGCCATAACTCTGGGGGTCTGCAGTCGACTTGGGGTCCCCAGGTGGGCGCGGACGCGCACGAGGGTGCGCACTTTCCCCGGTGGTCCCACGTGTGTGAGCCAGACCTAGGAGGGAGGCAGGAGCCCAGGGGGCACGGGGGTGATAGGGCCTAGGGCAGTAGGGTGCCAGGGGTGTAGAAGTGGGCGTTCCGCGCCAGCTGCGGCGGCCGCGGGCACAGCTACAGGCGCCGGGTGGGCGGGGCTTGGTTGGTGGGCGGGGCCGTTAGGGTTAGGGTTAGGGTTAGGGCTCACAACCCTGCCCGGACGGGATTTTCTCCGGTGGGGGGGGTGCGGGAGCAGACCCGGTGTGCACCTGCGCTGAGCGCGGTCGGGCCTCTCCTGGCCACGGACTCCCTGGGTCCGCGTGAGGAGCGACCAGTGCCAGGCCTGCAGTGACCCTGGGGTGTCCTCTTCTGCAGGGAAGAGTGGCGCCAGCCTCGTGGAAAAAGGCGAGGAGTGGGAACAGCCCAGATGTTCCTCCTCAGGAGAATGGGCCCATAACCCGTGGCGTGTCCTTCCTGGGGAGGACCGCTCCCCGTGGCGACGCCCAGGCACGATGTGCGCCCGCCGAGGCCGCACCAGAGCCCAGCCCGCGTGATCCACCCGGGACACTCTGGGAGGGGACACGTCGCAGGCAGCGACACCTTGCCTCGTGGAGGGGCGTGAGCGGGAAACGAAAGGGGCGCTCCGGGCGGGGGTGGCGTGTCCCTCGTCACCAGGAGCGTGGGGCTGCACAGGGCACCCGTTTCCAAAACCTCGTAGATGAGACTTGCCCGTCTTCCCGCGTGCGGCGCAGGGACTAGGTCCCGGGCCCGCGAAGATTCGCTGAAGTCACTGGCATGAGGCAGGTTGCTTAATGGGAGGAAAAAGCAAACATTTCATTTTAGCGCAGACATTCGAGAACCTTCACAATGAAAACCTGGCTCCCGATGAGGCACAGCGACTTTAAAGAACAGGGCTTGGATCGTAGCCCGGGGGGTTTTGTTCCGCAAGACAGGGCAGGAGGGCCAGGGAAGCCGGGCGGCTCGGGCGGGCTGTCCTCCCGTCGCCGGCTGGCCCTCGGGACAGCGCTGCGGGGGGCGGGGGTGGCTGGTTCAGACCCTTAGGGGTGCCAGGCTCTGCCTTTCCTGGCGGGGCCAGGAAAGACCCGGATGCATTAAGGGAGAGCCGCTGCAGAGGCGACCTCCCCACGGGACAGCTCTGCAGCCCCGCTCGGGTGGCCGCCGTTACGGCTGTCCAGCTCCTGGGTTCTTGCCTACTGGATCCCAGAATGAAAGCAAGAGGCAGGTTCCGAGTGGCAGGCAGCAAAGTTTGATAAAGCGAAAGTTACTCTTGCAGGGGGAGGAGCAGGCGCCCGTCCCAGCGGACAGTGGCCCTGGGGCCTCTCCTCCTCCCTGATCTTGGGCTTCTGCTTGTTGACTTGACTGTGGGGGGGGTTCCCACCCGAGGCGGTTGGGCCGGATGTGCAGTGGTGCCCACGGGGGGGAGGAGCTGTAATGTGCCACGTGCCCCGTGTTGTTCACGCTGTTCCTGCGACAGCTGCGGTGACCTTATCCTGTTACGGTGACAGCGTGCCCTCTCTCTCCGCGTCCCACGTTCACGTTGCTTGCTCTCGCGTGTCCGCTGCTCACCCCCCCTTTCCCCGCGCTGACGTCCGTGACCCCGACGGCCACCCTCGCCTTGCAGGGCGCTCACCCGGCATCCCGCTCGCTCGCGCGGCCCGCTGCGCACCTCGTGCGCTCGCGTCCTACGTCCCTACCCGGCCAACAGCAGCCGTCTCAAACTACGTCGAAGAAACACATCTCGGGATAAAATATTGCTAATTTTCCGCAGTGCGTCTGGTCCCTCTTCTTCCTCGGCAGGGTCAGCGCGCAGAGCGGCTCTCCCCCGACCCGGCGCGGCGCGCCCAGCCCCCACCCGTCTCCCACCCGCGCCCCGGGCCGCTGCCACGCCGGGCTCCGGGACCCCGAGCCGCCCCCCGCTTCGGCCCGGCCTCGCGGCTAGCCCGGCCCCGTCCCGCCCGGCGGGTCCTGCCGTCGCTCGCGGGAAACGCAGCAAGCACCTCGAGGGCGGGAGCTCGGGGCGGGGGTCGGGACGCGCTCCACCCGGCCGGGCCCGGCTCCCAGGGCGTGCGGGGCTCGCGGGACCCTCTGGCTGGGGGCCGCCCGGCGTCGGGAAACGCGCCGCCGCCCCCCACACGCCTCCCGAGCGGCTGGGCGGCTCCGGACCCCGTCGGCCGCCCGCGGGCGCAGACCCTCATCCCGGGCGGGGCGCGCACCCCAACG